TGCATTGATTTCACCTCTCACTACATAGAAGCTATTTGTTTTCATATTTTAATTTTGTCATACTTCTGTAAATCGGAACCAAAATATCTTCTTTGGTAAAGGAAAACTATACTGAAGTTTTAATTGGATGTGCCCAGTATCCAAATATTATCAGTTTTGTCAAGTATTAATATGGTTATAATTGCTTGATTTAACAACCTGTGGTTATATTCAGTGCATCAGATAAAACCAGAAATACTGACAAAATTCAAATAGAAAGCCATTATATCATCATATTTAAAAACAGGACAAGTGACTGAAGAGATGGCTCATTTAAGAACACATGCTGCTCTTGCAGAGGCCCCGGGTTCATTTTCTAGCACCCATGTCATTCTGCTCACACCCAACAATCTGTAACTTCAACTCCAGGGGATCTACGCCCTCTTCTGCCCTCCACAGCTACCTGCACTCAATGTGCAAAAACCCATACATAGATACATATACACATAATTAAAAACTAAAATCTACCGGGCGTGGTGGTGCATACCTGTAGTCCCAGCACTTGGGAGGCAGAGGCAGGCGGAGCTCTGTGAGTTCAAGGCCAGCCTGGTCTACATAGTGAGTTCCAGGACAGCTTGGGCTACAGGGAGACCCTGCTTCAAAAAGACAAAAAAAAAAAACTAAAATCATTTTGTAAAAAAGGACATCAGGGGCTAGAGAGATGGCTAAGTGGTTAAGAGCACTGGCTGCTCTTGCAGAGGACCCAGGTTAGGTTCCTAGCATCCAAATAGTGGCTAACAGCTGTCCTTAATACCCAATCCAGAGGATCTGAAGCCCTTTACTGACCTCTGCAGGCACTGCACCACATGGGTATATTTACATGTGTGCAGGCAACACACACACATAAAATAATAAAATATTTTAAAAAAATAAAAAATGATTATCAGTGGACCTTACAAACAAATTATTTGGAAATTTTATTTTGTTCATAATAAAAGATATTTTTCATGTAAAAAAAAAGAAAGCACAGCTGGGCATGGTGGCTCACGCCTATAGTTCTAGCACTTGGAGGCAGAGGCAGGCGGATCTCTGTGAGTTCAAGGCCATCCTGGTCTACACAGTGAGTTCCAGGCCAGCAGGTGCTACAGGGAGCCCTGTCTCAAAAAATAACTAAAAACAAAGTCACTGTCCCATTTTTCCCCTTTTTATTTCACCTAGGCCCATAGCCTATGGAATAGTACCACCCACATTTCGGGACAGTCCTTGACTCCTTTAGTTAATCCTCTCTGAAAATGCCTTCAAAAACATGCATGTGTGTATGCTTTACTAATTGCCTAGATACATCTCAATCCAGTCAAGTTAATAAGTCAAGATGAATCATCACCAATATGTACTTTAAAGATCTTTAAAAGTATACCTAAGGCCTATGCATATGAAAATGGATGTTAGACAAAGAAGGCAAAAAAAATCAAGAACTGTTCCTACTTAGCACTATATACTGAACTGCTGACACCATGCAGTCAGATGATGTTATCTGAAATACAGTAAGAAATAAGCTGTTTTATACTTTAAAAATAAGAACTAAACCTGGTCCTGAGTGAGCAATGGTCTCAGGCTGGTAGTGGCCTTGCAGTCTTTCTTTTAGTTGAGTGGTAAGTCAGACTTGTAGAAAGTGGAAAATTTTGACAAATAAAAACTGAAGAAAACTAATCCTGAAGCAAAAAACACTCTTTTGTCAAAGGAACCTATCCAGTCTGAGCATGTATGTTCAAATATAAAATGAGGACGTCCTCCCAAGAGTAACTTCAACGTTGCTTGAGAGTCTTCCTTTTAGACTTGTTTTTGTAAATCTGTGTGTTTGTAGAGAGTTTAGTGTTTACTGATGGCTGCTCAGCTATACTACCTGGCTAAGAGGTCAGCAGTAACCAGTGTTCCCTAAATCTATTTTTTTTTTTTTGGTCTTTTTGAGACAGGGTCTCCCTGTAGCCCCAGCTGGCCTGGAACTCACTATATAGACCAGGCTGGCTTTGAACACATAGAGATCCACGGTCCTCTGCCTCCCAAATGCTGGGATTAAAGGCATGCACCACCACGTTCAGCTTTAAATCTATTTTATTATTATTTACTTTTATTTTATGTGTATGAGTGTATTGCCTGCATGTGTGTAAGTGCACCCATGTTATGAAGTGCTCACAGAGGTCAGAAGAGGGGGTCTGATCCCTGGAACTGGAGTTATGCATGGTTGTTAGCCACTATGTGGGTGCTGGGACTCGAACCCTGGTCCGCTGCAAGAGCACCCAGTGATCTTAACTGCTGAGTCAGCTCTCCAACCCCTAAACTTACTATTTTATGTGTGTGTTTTGCCTGTGTGTGTCTAAGTTCGCCACATGTATGCAATGCCTGTGGAGGCCAGAAGGCATCAGGTCCCCTGGAACTGGAGTTACAGGTCATTATTAGCAACTGTATAAGTGCTGGGAACCAAACCCGGGTCCTCTGCAAGAACAACACATGCTCTTAACTGTTGAACCATCTTTCCAGCCCCTAAATTTGTTCTTAAACTTCCCACTGGTGTGTAAATCTCACTACTAATAATCTCACTACTGTTGGCCTGGGTGTAGTCCTTTCACCTCTCGCAAAACAGCCCAACTTTAAACTATGTATTAGGTACTTTTCTTTTGCTAAAAAAAAAAAAAAAAAAAAAAAAAAAAAACCACCACAATCAAGGCAGCTTAGAGAAGGAAGAGTTTGTTTGGTTTATGGTTCCAGAGGGGATAAGAGCTCATCATGGTGGGGAGGCATGGCAGCAGAGGCATCCAGAGCAGGAAGCTAAGCAGGCACATCTTCAAACAGACACAGGAAGCAGAGAGGGTGAAACTCAAAAGTTACACAAGGCTATGAACTCTCAGCCTACTCCCAGTGATGTGCTTCCTCCTGTGACACCTCCTAAAGGTTCCATGTCCCACCCAAAATAGCACCACCAACTGGCCAAGTGTTCAAATACTTTAGCCTTTGGGAGACAAACACTTCTCACTCAAACTACCACAATCTACAACAGGTGCCTTTGTGACTTCATCATGTTTATGGTGTTGCAATGTATACAACGTCTATTGCGTTGCATGTTTACAGCTCATTTATTTTCATTTCTAATGTATTATTAAATTAAATATTATCATACACACAAAAAATATGAATCAAGACTCAGGGTTCAGGGCTTTTGCAGAAATGAATACGTCTGTCTCGTCTGTGAAATCAGTCATCCTGTCGATGCCAGCAACGATGAAAAGGATTGTAGATCCTCCAGTGAAGAGGAAGAAGAAAGGCTCTTAATGCAAAACTTAAAGGCATAATAAACACTCTTAAAAGGACCTTCAAGGAGAAAACAAGGCTGTAGAAAAATAGAATATAAGCAAGAGAACCAATGGTGAAAGCCAAAATCACATGATTTCCCTTTCAGATATCTATAATCAAAACTGAACACTTTGAACTTCTTTATCCTAAACACATCTCCAAAAAATGAAAAAAAAAGAAAAGCAGAACCAGGAAGGAATATAGCCCCTAAATTTATGGTGGTATTGCCAGAATGGTCATTTCTTGCAATCTGTCTGTCATTTCAATATTAAAGTGTTCAGTGTACTTAAACTGAGTCACTGCCAGCATTCAAATATGTGTTTTCAGGAACTCAGGCCTAAGTCATCACTCAGTGTTATTTGCACAGAATCTATTGATAGCATATTTTGAGTAGTTTTAAGAATCTGTGAAGCCAAGTACGGTGGCATATGCCTATAATCTTGGCATTCAGGAGGCTGAGAAAGAAGGATTGTTGTCAGTTCCAGGCCAGCCTGGGCTACATAGGAAGATTCCCCCATCTCAAAAAAATTAAATGAAAAAGAAATGTGCCTTTTAGGAGAGAGAAGACCTTCTGCCATAAAAGGTATTTATTTACTTACTTATTTAAAGGTAGGAACTTTCTATGTAGACTAGGCTGGCCTCCAACTCTCAGCCCTTCTGCGTTGGCTTCCCTAAGGGAAGGATTACAATTTTCGGCCAACACCACCAGATACAAATGAGCACTTTAAGAAAATACATACTTATTGGAGAGTCCCATAGTCCTAAGTACACGTAGATTCCACCCCCACTGCCGCAGTTAATTTGTTGGGTGCCCTTTTGTAAGTTTCTTATCTTTTACTGGGCCTGGTTCCTCACCTATAACTCTAGCATTCATTAACTCCACAAATATTTGTCTCCTGCATACTGCCAGTAGGTTAAGTGGTAGCAATACAGGTTGGAATAGAAAGAGCGAACATTTACTAAATGCTTATTCTACACTTGAATTTTTGTTAAGGGAGTCCTGTACACTATCTCATAACCCATGAGATAGGTACTACTGTGGTATTTTTTAAACGTTACAAAGGAAGGAACTGAGGCAGAGTAAAAATGAAGTAACATCCTCAGGTATCAAACGACGTGGCAAACGATTAGCTATCAGGCAGGGTGGCTTCAAATCCCAGGAACCACAGGCAATTCTTGCTCCTAAACTCAAAGACTTGTTTTGGTCCTAGGCCAGGAATACTGGGTTCAACGCACTCTTGTCACACACCTTCCTTTTGCACTTACTCCGTTAAGCTTTTAGGAATGATTTACCTGAGAAACACAAACATACACCATATGCACCACACTGCTTTTTAGGGGAGAAGACTGTTCTCCACAAAAAGTATTTATATTTATTTATTTACATTTTATAGATAGGAACTTGCTATGTAAACTAGGCTGTCCTCCAACTCTCAGCCCTTCTGCCTAATGGAATTTAGTCAGAGAAATTATTCAGACAACTAAAACCAGCACTTTCTCACTCTAGCAGTTTCTCCCCCAGACCACGGAGGAGGAAGAGCATGCGCGCACGTGCCGCTCAGATCGCCCCGCCCCCATTGGGTACAGGCGAGCGTGCGGGTTACGTCAGCGCCACGCGCTTCTCAGGAAGAGCCTGTGCTGCTAGCGCGCAGGCGCTTTAGGGTGTTGAGAGTCCAGCGCTCTTTTGCCCCGCCAGGCGGCCCACCACACTACACCCGCCTCTTTTCTAGACGTCAACTTCCTGCTCTGCCCCACCTTTACGGAGACCAACAAGAGAAAGCAGCCTGCTTCTAGAGCTGTTCGCTTTGCGAGTATATCTGAGTGGCCCTAGGACGTGAGAGGCGAGCCTGGCACGGCTGCGCTTTCCTGCCCTCGAGCTACTCTAGACTCGGTGAGTGTCAGGCCCCCACTCCTAGCGCTACACTGAGCCGCTGCTCCCCTCCCTCCCCAGGGGAACGACTGAGTCTAAGTCTGTTCCCAGCATGCCGCACGCGGGATGCCCTGGCCAGTGCTGAGAGTGAACCCAAGTTGAGAGGTGGGGAAACGCCTTCCTAGGGGCGTTCCCTTGGCTCTTCCTTGGGGTCTTGAGATTATCAAATCCATTCAGTTACCCCATTCTTCATCCCCCCCCCCGCCATCGTTCTCCACAATCCTCCCCATCCGCCTGCGCTTTCTATGAAAAGTTCGTCTCAAAAACAACAGTAATTTCTTCTGCCTTCTCTCCATATGTATGCATTTCTTCCTACAGGTGGAATTTTAATTTCCCTTCTGCTTGTTACAGAACATTGTATCTTGTACGTTCCTATTCTTATTTTTTTTTTTGACTCCTTTGATGGAAAAAAAAGAAAAAACTTTGGGAACTTTTTGAGTTTGGATAGTATTTATACACCCAGAAGGAGTATCCTTGTCAGGAAGAATTCTGACACATATTCCAAAAATCATGTGAAGGAACTTGTATGAATTGTGTATTCGCTAGAAATAATAATCGTGTAATATGAACTGATAATTACAAAAATTAAATGTTAAGGTGCACCTGAGAATTCTTGTATTAGGCAGAGCTTTTCTGTTGCTTCCCTTTTCCTTTTGGAACCATTTATTGACCAAGTTCTCTGGATTAGGCAGGAAGATGACTACCTTGCTTCTTTCTCCACCCACTCCCCAGCATAGCACAATCAGAAACTGCATCTGCCCATTCCACACCTGTCCTTATGGTAGAAGTCAAAGTTCATTTCTTCTATATGAAAGCCAGATGAAGTGCCACACACCTGTAACACCAGCACATAGGAGGATAGAGCAGAAGGATCATAAATTTAAGGCTCGCTGTGGTTTCATAATGAAACACTGTCTCAAAAAAGAAAAGAAATAAAACCGTGAATGTGATTGCCATATGGTATTATAGTGACGTTTGGTGAAAACATCAATTATGCTCAATAGAGCTCATATGTCTCATTGTAGGTCACTTCTGCCATTGATTACCTTTGTGACTTGGGTCAGTCATTTAAACTTTATAATCCTCCATTTCCCTATTTTCATTTATTTATGTAAATACACCCATGCATGCAATGCCTGTGGAGACCAGAAGAGGGTGTCAGATCCCCTGGAACTGGAGTTATGGACAGTTAGCTGCCATATGGGTGCCTAACAGCTTAGGGATCTCTCCAGCTCCCACTATTTCCCTAATTTTAAAAAGGTGTGTGGGGGTTGTGCCTGTGGGTGAGGCCAGAGGAGATCAGATTTCAGGTATTCTGTTCTATCACTCTCTTCTGCCTCATTCCGCCTGAACTGAAGCTATGCTAGTCGCAAAGGAGCCTCAGTGATCCTTCTGTCTGTATTCTCTACAGCGCTGGAGTTGCAGATGGCTCACTGCCATGCCTGGCTTTTACTATGGGTCCTGAGATTGGAACTCAGGTCCTCGTACTTCCATAGCAAATGATCTTTCTTACCCATCTCTTCAGTGACTTTAAAAAAGTTTTAACTGATACATAATTACATATTTTTATTGATTTTTTTTCTGTTTCATACAGAAAATCATCTTTATACCCCCTTCCCCTTTGGCATCCTCCCATAGCCTCCCCACTGGAGTTCATACATTCTGTCATTTGTGCTAAGGCCTATCATGTAAAATTGGTGTCCCCAGATGTCCCTCAGTGCAAGTTCATCCACTGGGGTTTAGTAGCCTCTCTTCAAGATCAGCTCTTCCTCACCCAGCAGTAATCAGCTGCCAATGATTCTTTGACTAATATTGGGGCTTGCTGTTCATTTCCACAGTTCTGTGCTGGAGTTTTCTTTTTTGTCTGCCTAAGTTTGCATATTTTGTGCATGCTTACACCATTGCTGTAGGTTTGAAGAAAGTGTCCCAGGCACCTGTAGGACCATTTTCGTAATCACATACTACATATTTTTTAAATGAGAGAAAGGATATTAGGTAACTTCTAAGATCCTGTACAACCTTAAGGGAGAAAGTGAAAATCTAGTTCAGCATTTCTTCATGGAATTGCAGAGGAGATAGGAAAATCTCAACCTTTAACATAAACGTATAGCATACCGTTTTTTTCATTTGTTTTATTTCTGTTGGCTTCTCTTTCAATTTCTTTTTTGGGGTGGGGGGTCTTTTTGAGACAGGGTCTCCCTGGAACTCCCTATGTAGACCAGGCTGGCCTGGAACTCACAGAGATCCTGCCTCTGCCTCCCATGTGCAGGGATTAAAGGCATGAGCCACCACACCCAGCCTTCTTTCAGTTTCTAGTTGAAATTAAAATGCAGGGACTTTTTCCCTTTTTACTTCCCCAAAGAAGAAAATATCATTTGTGGAAATAAAAATGTTCATTAATGGTCCCCAAATATGCCTATGTTGACTTCTTTTTTGTTAAATATTTTATTTTTGTATGTGTATTTTATTTTTTATTTTGCTTTTGTTTGTTTTTGATCTTTGTAAGACAGGGTCTCTCTATAGCCCCAGCTGGCCTGGAACTCGCTATGTAGAGCAGGCTGGCCTTGATTTCACAGAGCTCTGCCTGCCTCTGCCTCTCAAGTATTGGGGCTACAGGTATGCAACACCATACCTACTATATTGTATTTTATATGTATTGTTTGCATGTGTGTAAGTGCACCTATAGCCATCCTGTTAAATAAAGCACTAGACTGAAAAGTAAAATTTGAGTTTAAATTGAGTTTATCTGTTCAATTTAAAGTCATAATGTTAAAGCCCACTTATATGGTCAGAGGTACTAATAACATCCTGCAAGTTTGTCATACAAAATCTTTAAAGAGAATGATGAAAGGACAGTGTCTGTAACATTAGTTTCTAGGGCTGATGCTTTGATTTAGTACTTGGTTAATTAAATGATAAAATGCAAAAATAACCTACCATGGCAAATTCTGCCCCACAGAGGAGTTTCTGCAAAGTTTCAATTTGTACCAAATCATAATCAAATACCATTGGAAGCTAAAGATTGTGAGAGTACTTGTTACTGTATGCAATTGGCCTGATTTTGAGTGTGGGAATCTTTTCAAAAGTGTATAGAGCAAAATGTAAGTACATTAAGAAATACCAAATCAAATTACTAGCCTAAATATTTTGAGAGTCTTTTTCTTCTTTATAGGAAAAATGCTTTCTGAAAGCAGTTCGTTTTTGAAGGGTGTGATGCTTGGAAGCATTTTCTGTGCTGTGATCACTATGCTAGGGCACGTTAGGATTGGTCCCGGAAACAGGATGCAGCACCATGAGCATCATCACCTGCAAGCTCCTAACAAAGAAGACATCTTGAAAATTTCAGAGAATGAACGCATGGAGCTCAGCAAGAGCTTTCGGGTGTACTGTATCATTCTTGTAAAACCCAAAGATGTGAGTCTTTGGGCTGCAGTGAAGGAGACTTGGACCAAACACTGTGACAAAGCAGAGTTCTTCAGTTCTGAAAACGTTAAAGTGTTTGAGTCAATTAATATGGATACGAATGACATGTGGCTGATGATGAGAAAAGCTTACAAATACGCCTTTGATAAATACAGTGACCAATACAACTGGTTCTTCCTTGCACACCCCACTACATTTGCTGTGATTGAAAACCTAAAGTATTTCTTGTTAAAAAAGGATCCATCGCAACCTTTCTATCTAGGCCACACTATAAAATCTGGAGACCTGGAATATGTGAGTGTAGGAGGAGGAATTGTCTTAAGTATAGAATCAATGAAAAGACTTAACAGTCTTCTTGATGTCCCTGAAAAGTGTCCTGAACAGGGGGGAATGATTTGGAAGATATCTGAAGATAAGCAGCTAGCGATCTGCCTGAAGTATGCTGGAGTGTTTGCCGAAAATGCAGAAGATGCGGATGGGAAAGATGTGTTTAATACCAAATCAGTTGGGCTTTTTATTAAAGAGGCAATGACTAATCACCCAAACCAGGTGGTAGAAGGATGTTGTTCCGATATGGCTGTTACTTTTAATGGACTAACACCTAATCAGATGCATGTAATGATGTATGGGGTGTACCGTCTTAGGGCATTTGGACATATTTTCAGTGATGCATTGGTTTTCTTACCTCCAAATGGTTCTGACAATGACTGAGCAAAGACAAGAGAATGTATTTAATAACCACGTTAGGTGTGTTATCATTTGTAATAATAACATATCTAACACAGTGGTATGTTTCTCTTTTCTAATCCAATCACACTGGTATAGTCACAGATTAAAGTTTACTTGTACATTTTCAAATGGAATGGTATTTTTCCTTTAAAACACTTGTGAGAAATTTAAATTTGTTAGAAATGTTTTAAGAACAACAATTTTGCCAATAAAGAATGTATTTATAAATATATTTACGTGATAAATACTAAATTAAACATTAAAATTCTGTGGCATATATTTGCTTATTGGCTTTAAGAATTTTAGCATACTTTTTCATCTTTCTAATAGATGCAAATGAAATCTTTAGTTCTGAATTTATTATTCAAATGATACTTTTAACTCTGTATTATCTTTACTTTTGAGTAAGCAGGGACTTCAGGAGGGTAGGGACAGGGTCTTAACTGTGTAGCCCAGGCTGGCCTAGGACTAGCATTCCTCCTTAGCCTACTGAGTGCTAGTGCTAAAGGCATGAGCCACTATGCCCAACTGTTTCCCTTCTAATGTAGAGCATATGGATTTGCTTTCCCAAAATGTACAGTCAAGCAATTAAGAAAGTGTTCCTAGCCAGGAGTGGTGGCACATGCCTTTAATCCCAGCAGTGGGGAGGCAGAGGCAGGCGGATCTCTGTGAGTTCAAGGCCACCCTGGTCTACATAGTTCTAGGACAGCCAGGACTACAGGGAGACCCCAACTCAAAAAGACAAAAAAAAGTGTTCCTAAACACCATTGAAGAAAATTTGAATTCTATCCTTGGGAGAATGGTGAAAAAATATTTTTACATAGGTTAAATAATTTTCCTGGGAGCTAATTTAGTGGCATTCTTCAGCATACACAGTTTCCATTTAGCTCTGTACTTTGGCATACAGATAATTTGTTTTGGTCTCTGGCTGATTGATTTACCTGACTTGAGTCTGGGTTTTTGTTGTTTTGGTTTTGGTTACTTGTGCAAATTCTGGAATATTTCCCAGTTTCGTGTTTTCATGGTTTGGTTTGGTTTTGATTTTTGGTATAGAGACCCTAACCTCACCATTCATGTTGGATTACACTATCATTTGCCTAATTTCAATGACTACTGGGAATCTTTACCTATGGTATATACAGTTATTCCTGTGCTTCTAAATGTATATTACTTGAAGCTGACCTGTCCTTTAATCTGTCCAGCAGTGCTATGTTAAGTCAGATCCATAAGCCCCTTTAAGATATGACACTGTTTTTACATACAGTATTCCTTTTAATTGGCCTAATGACTCTAATAATGCCCCTCAGCTTTAGCAAACCAGAAAGTATTTACTCAGGAAGGCTTTGGGCTTCAAATTATTGATCCTTAGTAGTAGTATTGTCAAACCTTTGTTTTAATTTTCTCTGATCCTTTCATTGGGACTTCTGTTTAACCTGAAGTATTCTTAATTTTGAAGAATCATAAAACCTTTTTAATAAGCACCCCAATATCTGATCACAGGTGAAATTACTACAAATCAAGTCATGTTCAGTGTAAGTACAGTGATAAACAGAATGTGACACAGTACCCCATATGCCAATATATTTTTCTTTTTAAATTTTTATTACATTTATTTTACTTATGTGTTCATGTATGCACATATGTGGAGCCCAGAGAACAGCTTGCACAAGTTGGTGCCCCTTCTGCTGTATGGGTCCTGGGGATCAAACTCGGATAGTTTACCCATTGAGCCATCTGATTGGCTCTATTTTAAATTTTCTATTTCTGAGGCTAGAGAGATGGCACAGCTCTTAAGAACACCTGCTGCTCTTTCAGGGGACCTGGGTTCAGTTCCCAGCACCCACATGGCAGCCAGCAATTGTCTGTAACTCCAGTTCTAGGGTATATGACAACCTCTCCTAGCATCTGTGAGCATTGCATGCATGTGGTGTACTTACATACATGCAGGCAAAACACTCATACACATAAAATAAAAAATGAAAAAAAAATTAATAATAATTTTTTCTATTTTTATTGTCACCTTGCCACCAACGCCAACGTATTTAAATTTTTCATTTTAATTACATTAGCCTATCAAAATATTAGAACAAATATGTTAGAAAATCCATTCTGGGCTGGAGAGATGGCTCAGCGATTAACAGCACTGACGACTCTTGCAGAGGACCTGGGTTCGACTCCCAGCACCCACATGGCGGCTATGAACCGTCCTTAACTCCAGTTCCAGGGGAATCCGAAGCTCTCTTCTGGCCTCCGTGGCATTGCACAACACAGGTGCTCACACATACATGCAGGGAATACACTCATAGACATAAAAAATAAAAATAATAAAATATTTTTTTGGTCTTTTTGAGACAGGGTCTCCTTGTAGCCCCAGCTGACGGCCAGGAACTTGGTAGACTGGGCTGGCCTTGAACTCAAGAGACCTGCCTGCCTGTGCCTCCAGAGTACTGAGTAAAGGTGTGCACCACCAAGCCCAGCCATTGAGTGGATTTTAAACTAAGCAAAACAGCAAACATCCAAGACTGAAGTATCACAAAGGCTCTTAAGTTGTTTCATCAAAACTGAGAATTACCCTAAATTATTAAAATTCCTTTCAAATGACCCCATTAAAATGTGCTTAGAAAGCATGATCCTTTCCTGAAAGATGTGAAATCAGCTTCCCCTCTTCACTTACTCTGGGACTCTACTAGCTACTCACCAAAGAGTTAACTTCCCTTTCAGTTATTACCTGTTCCAGGGAAGTTCCAAAAAAGCAAGGAGTGATTTCTTTTTTTAGGTGTAACTAAAAGATTCCTAAATTGCATAACTCATGTCTCTAAGGGGCAAAGAAAGTCCTTGAATCATGAATAGGAGATGTGAAGGAGAAGTAAAGGCAAGAGTAATTAGCATTACAAGTTCTAGACAGGGAATTAGAAAAAAGCCAGAACAGGGCATTTTTCAAATGTTCATGAGAGTCCATTGGAGTTTCTTGACAAGGGCTTCCAAAAGCATCCCTCTATTGGGTTCTTCCTCATTTTTCTTTTGTCTTCCAAGGCTGGACTAGTTGACTGAGAAGAGTGGCTGGATACCCAGGTGAGGATCCAGTGACCCTGCTTGGCACTCCTTTAATGAATGAGCACAACCATCAACAAGCCCAGTTGTGACTGTGTTTAGCGATCAGGCTCAGCCAAAGTTGTGATGATGGTAGTTATATCATGCAGAAGTGGCTGCTGTATAGCATCATCTTATTAAAAGGACTTGGAATTTAAAAGGATTTGGTGCTAGGAGCCACATATGAGGGAGAACATATGTTGTTTGTTTTTCTGAGTCTGTGTTACTTCACTTAGTATAACAGTTTCTAGATCCATCCATTTACCTGCAAATTTCACAATAGCTAAGAGATGGAAGCAACCTAAGCGTCCCTGAACTGATGAGTGGTTAACAAAAATGTGGTATATTTACACAATGGATTTCTAGTCAGCAGTAAAGAAAGATGAAACAATGAAATTTGCAGAGAGATATTATTTCTTGTAATTCACATAATATCAATGCCTTTGGCAGTTTTTATTAATTCCATTCAAGAAGAGCCATACTGGCTATGCAACAGCACTATTAATTTGGGAAAAGTTATGGCATAAAGAGTAGGGCTTAACTTTTTTTTTTTTTTTTTGGTCTTTTTGAGACAAGTTTTCCCTGTAGCTGCAGCTGGCCTGGATTCACTAATGGAGACCAGGCTGGCCTCGAACTCACAGAGATCTGCCTGCCTCTGCCTCCCGAGTGCTGGGATTAAAGGCCTGCCCCACCACGCTTGGCTGGTTTAACATTTTTTAAATGCTTTGATCTGATAAGATACCCACCTACGTACCCAAAGTATTGAATAAATGAAAATGTTATAGTAGTCAGAATACCAGCTGAGTACCTAGGGAATGGGGGAAAACTCTGACTGGGATTATGGAAGTCTTTGAATACTAGTACTATTTCACTTCCTGTATTTACCACTTCCTAAAGCATGTTTCTAGAAGAAACTTCAAGAAAAACTACATTTTCATGAACCCAGTGTTGTCCAAATGTTAAACATGTGTGCCCCTTTCAACAAAAAAATCACAACTCTCACATCAAAGGGGATAAGAGACAGTTTATTCTGGAGCCAAATATAAATAACCATGGCCTGGGAACAGATGTAAGTCACCCCAAATTCCATGTTCCAGTGTGGAAGCATTTTCATTTAAGGTTTTATACTAGTATTACAAGGAAAAATCACAAATAGAGGTGTTATGCTCAGTTTGCAAGACCCCAAAGACCACCAAGGAGCCAACCGATGCGAACACACAAGCGTCTTTTATTGTTGTAAGCTTAAGCTTGGGCCCACTCTGTCACTGACTCAACGGATCTCAGATGTCAGACCCCTTGCTTTGGGAGACAGAGGTTTTTATAGGTTTATTTCAGCAAGTTTAGCAAGTAGGGGAGTAGGGGGTCTCCAGCCTGGCAAACATCTGATTGGTTGCAGCCCAGTGCCAAACCATAAACTGCTGGCTTCAGGAAATCTGAAAAGACATTTGGACTTTTAGTACTTTCTTGTCCCTGGTTAATTGACCATTGGTGGGGGAGTTGTTTTCTATCCATTCCAAGTATATATATATATTGTGGTTTCTCCTGGAACAGGATTCAGGGCTGGGTCAGTCCCATGGTGGTTTTATCCAAGATGGAGTCACTCAGGTCTCTCACAACCAGAACTTTAATCTTAGTTCAGCCTGTTTGTAATGTCAACAGTTCTCCTAGGTCTTGAGTTCCTCTTGTAACCTAAACATATCTTATATTTCTCATGACA